AAATACAATAGAGTCGCTTTGAGCAGCTATATATGTGCATGCAACAAATCAATAACAGAATCAGATAACGGTTAGTAGTAGTTTGTATTTCTTGAATTGACAGACAATACAGAGCAATCAACTCCATCATTTTCACCAACAAACAGTTTACAATTTTTGTCAACATTACTTTAGATGGTTTTCAAATGTTATCTTCGTCGATTCTACGTATTTTGTGGTCAAAGTGATTCAACATCGGTTTGATCTTTTTGCAATCTGTGTCCATTAGTTGAACACCGAAAAATATTGTAAGAGCAAATAAAAAATAAGTGTTTTACTACTTACAGAAATATGAGTTCTTTTAACGAAAAACTTTCTCGAAGTAGCTCATTAACTTCGTCGACACCTCTCGAAGGTCTACACACAATCTTAACACAAGCATGAAGATTGTTATTCACCACCACGCTGATCCCATAAGCTTAAAAATAGAATATTGTCTGTTTCTTGATGTAGTGCAATGCATACAAGCTTTAACATTATAGTGACATAAGTAATCTAATCTAGTAGTTCGATTATGTATGATTTATACGCTAGTTTTAGAAACTAATGTTTATCTGGTCTGTGGAAGCCAGTTTTCAATATCAGACTAGATAAAAGTGAAAGCTTTAGTTATTCAAATAAATTTTTTAAAAAAATAGTAATTAAAAATTAAGAGCTGATGCTGGAAATAGCTCGAAATAAAGCTTCTTACATGAGTGTTTCTTTGGTTACCGATGTGAAGAGCATGATATTCCTTGGAATCAGTATTGAGTTAGATCTAGATCAAGCATAAGGATTTTGTCAACGGTGCTTTTAGCACTATCCAAGCCTATAGGCTCATTCTGAGATTAATTGCTAATTTGCAACCAAAGATCATTGACTCTCACAGCGATCATATAGTGCAAGATAACAACAGTGCCCATGATTGACAAGAAATTTTTTGTCTGTTGTTCAAAGCGTTGAAATTTGGAAATAAGTTGATATAAAATCGCCACTCATATACGTTGTTGAGTATTCGTATGTGCACTGGCTTCTGCAGCTTGCAAAAACATCTTTAGCACCACATAGAGCATTCTGATTTTATTTATTCATATTCATTTTCTCCTGTTTTTACATATGCATGGCGAATAAACTAGTGCAACCTCTACTTGCTGTGCTTTAGAGTGGAGAAATTAGAAATGTAGATTTTTTCTTTACTAACCGAGCTTCGAATAGTCATTGACATTCATTTGAAACCAATGCAGAGCGATTACATGAACACTAACGTCCTGTTTGATCGAATTACTTAGTATCAATCGCTTCACGAAAAGACATTCCTACGACGTTCCCAATAGAACTCGAATCACTAAACAGGTTATTTCTCCTATGCCATCTTACTCGAAACGATGATTTAGTGCCGTAAAATAAAATAATATGAATTATTCATTTAGTCATCTAATACCATCATCAATCCTATTAATTTATTAATGTCTTCATTTATAGATAGAATATGGTATCTTTCATACTCAGATTCTTTTTAATCATGAGTATCATGTCCCTTTCTATACGTAGCAGATCGAATTTCAACGTTTATGATTCCAGCAGCACGAATGTGACCACAATAAATAAAACGTAAGTATTCGATCTGATAAGAATTCGAAGTTTTCATTTTAGGATTTACTGCTCAACAGAGAATATCAATGGCTTCGATACAATGAATCTTAACCCTTTTTAATATTGATTGAAAGACGAGAAAATCATCGCATATACGAAGAGAAAAGCTTCATATATGACATACATACTTAGTCTTCAAATTTAGCCTTAGAAACAATATCTTCCAACCGAAACCATGAACATTTGAGTTTACATCAACAAGAATGAATAAAATCGCTCACACCCTTGAAATATCCTAAATTTTCTTTTTAGAGTGGTGGACTCTCTTCTCCGACCAACATGGATAGAAGTTAATCTGGACGCAGTGAGTTACAATGTACGACAACTAAAAGCACTCATTGGCGAGAAAGTACGTCTAATGGCTGTCGTCAAAGGCAACGCCTATGGACATGGAATATTGGAAATAGCTCGAACTGCTCTTGCATCTGGTGCAACTTGGTTAGGCGTTGCTACATTAGACGAAGCACTTGTACTGCGTCGTCATCTAACACAAGATACGCCTATTCTCGTTCTGGGCTATGTCCCTTCACAACATTTGCCGTTGGCTAGTCGCTCAAAAATTACGGTGACAGGCATCTCTTTGGCATGGGTCCAAGAAGCGTCTCGTGTCGTTCATGAACCATTGGATTTTCATCTGAAAGTCGATACCGGCCTAAATCGAATAGGTTGTAAGACATTAGACGAAGTGCAAGAAGTAATTAACATTGTATCTCACTATCCAAATCTAAACTTATCGGGAGTCTTTACTCACTTTTCTACAGCTACAGACATGACCAATACAACCTATTTTCAATGGCAACTAGCTCGCTTTCACGAGTTTCTCGAAGTCATCCCTAATCGAACCAAAAAACTTATTCACTGTGCGAACTCAGGTGCTACTCTACTTCATACTGAGAAGATATTCTTTGATATGGTTCGCTGTGGAAGTGCATTGACTGGTCTACTGAAGCAACCGTCAGAACAACCACTTCCCTTCCCTCTTAAAACGGCTATTTCCGTCCACTCGACGTTAGATCTCATCAAACAAGTGAATGCTAGTGAAAAGATTGGTTATGGAGGTACATATACAACAACGCAAACTGAATGGATCGGTACTGTGCCTATAGGATACGCTGACGGGTGGCGTCAAAATTTTAAACCAATTGGCGTCCTCGTCGAAGGAAAACGATTTCCGATCGTTGGACGCATTGCTATGGATCAACTTATGATTGGTTTCGATCGAATGTATTCGGTCGGAACTCGCGTGACTTTCATTGGACAAGAAGGCAACGAGACAATTAGTGTAGATGACATCGCTCGTGAGGCAAATGTGTCGAGGGGAGAAGTATTATGTTCCTTCTCAAATCGCATACCACGTATTTACAAACCAGATGTATGGATCAAAAGTTCTGGAAATTTTATGCTGCAACCATCGACATTACTAGAGGCTATGCTTTTCTTTTCTTTTCTTTTCTTTTCTTTTACTAGACGTTCGTAACCGACATGCGATTGAGCACACATTCGTAATAGACTTTTTCTGAACCATAGATAAGACACAGAAAATCGGTTAGTCTTGGAAATCGCACATGATAAAGTATATATTAGCTTTTCGTGTCGTAAGTACCATATGTTCATTGAAGACTGATTTAGGTGTGTGTGAATATGAAGATCTTTTCATCATCCTCAACTGTACATCATTCGTTCAATGCTTTTGTTTTAGACCCTCTTTCTCTGAATGTCTGATAGGGATGTGCGATGTGTGTGTGTTCTTAAAAAAGTAACGAATTAACAATGTAAGTAGGCTGTGGGTGTGGGTGTGGGTGTGGGTGTGTGGGTGTGGGTGTGGGTGTGGGTGTGGGTGTGTGGGTGTGGGTGTGGGTGCCACTACTTTGATTAATCCCTCCCACATATACACATACACCTACACCCACACCCACACCCACACCCACACCCACCAACACCCACACCCACACCCACGCCCACACTCACGCCCACACTCACGCCCACACCCACACCCACACCCATGGGGAAAAGGCTTGTACGAATGTAGAAAAATACTATGAAATTTCGTTACTTTTCGTTTTTGATGTTGTCAAATAAAGTGATGTAGGAATAAAAAATGAAACAGTAGGTTACATCTTCTTATTGAGATATCAAAGTTTTTTGGACTTCTCTACTATCAGCAACATCTCTTTTGTTGCAATGAACTGAATGACTTCAAACCATCGTTATGTAACTAGTCAACAATGATATGTCTCTGAGTGTGAGTGTGGATGTAGTGCATTTCGCCTCCCACATCCTATTAGTGATTAATTAACCATCATTTTACTAATTAGCTAATAAATTGGTTTCTTTGTAATGGTCTGTAGTGGGGCACGAACCGCAAAACGTCGCCTTGAAACTTATACTCACTGTTTTCTTCGAAAATATAAGTGAGTTTCACAAAACATTCTAACACGCTAGCAGTTTAGTTGTGTCTTAAACGAATCCTTAAAAAAAAGAACAATTACGAAGAAATAAATGAATCTATTGCAAATAATATTTTCACTGTTTTATGCTCCCAACACGCCAATGTCATGACATCAATGGCACAGTATATATAGTTCGACGACATGCTGTAATTTTGGGTTATGGAAAAAAGCAAACATATAAAATTCATCCGATAGAAATACGAAATAAATGACGACAAGATTCGATCGTTTTGATCATAAATAAACTACATACGAAACATTTCATTGAAATTATTCCAATGTCTAGTTAATTCTATTTCAAAGGAACTTTTTTCTTTCCTTAAAGTTGACAGACGAACTCATTCGATATTGTGTGAGAGATTAGAAAAAACGAATTCAGTTTTTGAGTACTTTTTCATTCATTACAAAGAAACGATGCGATTGGTAACAACACTATTTTTCAGTGTCTTATTCTCGTATGTACAAAGTTTGTCAAGTTATTTCTTTTCATTTCATTCTTTCAATGTATAACCAGTATTTAGGTCAGACTACAACAATACCTAATTACTGTTGTAATGAAAATAATAACAATGTTTGGTAAGCTAGAATAATAACGACAGCTCTCTGCTCTCATCAACACCTTGCTTTGATTATCGTACACTCAACAATATTAGTTATTGAACATCTGGTGTAATATGTTCACTTTTGGAACGGTGTAATAACGCTAATCATACTTGTGCATCAAACACTTCTGCATGCATCATTAATTCGTGTAGTTCACCACAAGCAGTATGTTTATGGATCACATTCATGCCGAGAATAGAAAGAAAATGAGATTAAAATTCGAATAAACTCAAGTTCTACCTATAATCAAAAAATAAAAGATTCATGTGATTCTGTAAATCTACTACGTAGTACAAAATTGATCGGTTCTGTGATACTTTAAAGTCTTCTGTTTCGTTTTTGAATAAAAACTTATTAATAAAGTTCTCTGTAAAAGCAAAATGAGCATTTCAATCAACTTTTTAAAAAATATAATCAGTTGTATCTATGATTGTGCTAAAATTTGGTAGAATGCTTCTTGACAAAACTTTGATTACTTAACTTAGAAAAGTCTTCTTTATGCAAAATATTAGATGAAATCAACGTTCTTAACATAGTCATAGGCATTGTTTAAATTAGATAAGCTGATGTTTCTCATTTGAGACTATTTGATCAAGTGTAAACATCCATTTATTTCATCAATAATAACTTGAGAGATATTAAACTATATCAAAGGCAATACTTTATTCATCCTAAAAGTAATGCTTCGAAATAGTTTGATCGACTATTTTCATTATACCTGTAGCAGATTTCATGATGATCAGAATTGTTTTAAGACAATACAGTCCAGTGTGAATGCTGTTGAAGGTAAATTTGGTGGAGTCAATAATATTATAATTATGAATGATCACATCTAGGTCGACAAGGTTTTCCTGTAAATCAGTTAGGTTTAAGAGAAAATCTTGTTTGAAACTGCTACGAACTTCTCGAACCTTCAACTATGGTTGATTAAAAAAGAGCTATTTAAATTAAAATTTCTTTTGTTCATCCTTATCTGTGGTTTGTGTTTTAACTTTTTTTTACACAGGCGAGCAAAACAGAAGGGAGGACGCCCAACATGACTAGTCTCGAATGTCTGCACTTGTGTGCATACTGTTCAGGCTCGTTCGTTAAATAAAAAGTCCACACAAAAAAAAGTGACAATAGGCGAATATCAAACATTTAATCCGACACTGTTAAATATCTTACAAGTCTGAACCGTTTTCAATGGTGATATGAACTAGAGTCAAGCGCCATTTGTATTGTTCATGATTAGTTCATTTTTGAGAAAATAGTGTCAATTGTGGTCCAGACTAGCCTAAACTCTTCGAACAGTCTCATTTACTTTGATCTTAATTTCCAGACAACTTGTTTAGACTGGTTCACATTGGAACTAGAAAAGTGGTTTAATGTTGTACAGGAGATGTTGACACATTTGCATCGTCGTTTAGAATATCTGATTGAGAATTAGATGCCTTTATAATATAAATCAGATAGTAAAATATTAATAATTTTGTTATTATTTTCAATAAGAAGAGGCTCTCAAAACTAACAATGACGACAATGTCCATATCAAAACATAGTCATTGAGTACTTTTTATATTAAAACTACAAAAAATATGTTGAAGTAACTTACAAACAAATGGATAAAATTACAAAGCAGCTGTTAGCATCATAACGAAAGTTGCCTATTTATGTCTTTTAAAATTTCTAGATTGTAAGAAAAAATCAAGAATAATTTGAATTTAAAAATGGATTTAAAGTTATAGAATTTTTTGTTTACTTTTATGTTCACATTGAAAAGATTTAAATTAAAACAAACATAAGTCATCAGATGAAAAAATTCTTTTTAATTAAGATTAGTTTTAATTTTTTTTCCAATTTTAATTGTTTTTCCTGTACCAAAAAATTTGTGAATTGATTTTATTCAACCTGATTTAAATAATTATCGACTTCATGATAAATATTTTTTATTTATATCACAACTTGAAAAATTGAGTAAAACTGATTTGATCACTTGGTTAATCGTACGGTTCAATGGATTAAATGATGGGTGAATCATACATTGGGTATGGGTATGGGTATCTATGCGAAAAAACACCCACACCACCCACATCCACCCGAGAAGCATTATTTCGAAGTGTTGTAGTCGATGTAAATGTTGATATAGTTTATGTTGTTTTAGTAGTTGTAGTAGTTGTTGATCTGCTTGTGATAGTTATCGATGTACTTTTAGTGCTTGTCGATGTACTTGCAGTAGTTGGTATGAAAGAACTACATTGATCAATCACAATATCATCGAAAGCAACAGCTGTTAATGTCGTTTCAAGTTGATAAACATCAAAATAGAGTGTTATTGCACTAGCAGTTTTGCTTAAAGGTAAAAGAACTGTCTGCCATCCATGACTATCATATAATCATTGATACCATAATCCTGTGTTAGGATATCCATCACTAGATAGACGAATTACTGTTGTATTTTTATTAATCAGTTTTGATTTGACATAATAAGTGAACTGAATACACATGCCAGTATTTTGTTCAATTGTTTTTGACAGATACACACGACCTCGATCACTTGTACTTACTGGCAAGTATTGATTCCAGTAAAGAAAGCCACCAGATGTCGAATTACGTGTATGATCTCGAACTGAACCAAGTTCTCGATTAGGTATTGTATCACCAGTAAATACCGTAAAATTAAATGTAGAACTCTTTGCATCATTAACCATATCACACATAGTCAAGTTATCAAAATTACATGAGAAAGAAAGGAGAGAATTGTATGACATAGATGAAGGCGGATAATCACATGAAGTGATATCAATATTATCGAGAGCAAACGAGTTTGGAAAAGGATTCTCAGTATTGACACGAAAAAGTAGTGAATAATTGCCAACTAGTAAATTAATAATACCCCAAGACCTTATATAAAAAAATCATATCAGTTAATAAGTTTATTTTTAAGATATGCATCACATTTAAGACTCTTTCGTTTTCATGGTTTTAGCAAAGTAAACAAGGATAAAACAGTTCAGGTCTTAGTTTTGGGTTTTTATCGGATATGAATTACAAAATAATTTAAATTTTCTATATGTTAACATTTTATTCGTGCATATGATTTGAATAGTCTAGATAAGTGTATTAGGATCTACTAGAATCTAGCATGAATTTGTTTTGTGTGTGATTTATACCCTCATCTTCAACGAAATTATATAGAGCAGCATATTCCAAGATTGATTATTTTGTAATTTGATTCCGTCAATCAGTGATAGACTTATTATTAATTATTATTTTCTAAAGATGCAAGAATGAGCGAATCAAACAATCTCATAATTAATATTAGCTGATTCTAATAATTTTTACACTAAGCATGAAAATAAAATATCTATTTTTGTAGCGTAAACTTACCATTGTCCGCTCAGTCTATAACAAGACAGTTTAAATTACAATGGTTCTTTGAAGACTGCTTACATGTAATAACTTGATCGATTTCCAGGCCATAACATTTGAATTGCTTTAGATTCATCTGAGGCCCACGAATAAATTTTCAAATAACTTCCGCCACTTGATGGTAAGCATAGTATTGAAAATTCAAACAATAAGTTTCTTGAGGTGTGATTTGTAACTGTTTTTGTAAATGTAGATAACCCACTTTACCCTCATCGATTCTTTTGGAAACTGGTACAAATGCATAATGTCCTGATTTATTTCCATATGTAAAATCAGTAGATGGAGCAAAGATTTCAATGCTGTCAGCGTCACTTGCATTTGTTATTAACCATTGATATGGATACATAGGCAATGAAACAAAACTCTCTGAACAAGATGATTCGAAATCGCAAGTATATAAAACTTTAGGAAGTGAAGGTGGTGGACCATCACAATTATCCACAGAAATATCATCGAATGCTAGGTATTTCTGTGTTATAACTGTTTGAACAGATATGCCAATTTTTTCATTTGGTAATTTTACTTCGATTAATGTCCAGTCAATAGTTGAAACATTTTTATCTGAAACTGAAGCGAGTGTACGTATCAGTTCTACGCCATCACCTTGTACAATCGAAACAGTAAATAGAAAATTTATTTGAGAAGCATAATGCCACATTCGAAAACATAATGATCGATTAGTTGAAGGTTGTAACCAACTTTTGGTTTTAATTTCGAAACCTCTTGCACCAGGACTTGGATTGTAGACAACATAATAACCAGCTTTTGTATTTAATGTATGTCCATGATCGATAGGTTGAGGATGATAACCGTCTGTTATATCCCAATAACCATACAAACCAAGATCATTACAACTGGTTTCAAAATCACAATTGAGAATGGTGCCGTGACTCAGAAATATTTGACAAAGAAAAATGAATAAAAGAAGTGACATTTTGATGAGTGAAGAAAATTGAATAATTGTTACATTTTGGTACTAACATATATATATATGTGTGAGACCATCTAAACAATTGCACCAATGTGGTGCAATAGTAGTCACAGCACACCATGCATGATAAAAATGATGCAGAAAGATAAGAATAACAGTTTTTCATATGACGTATTATAACAATGACAATGAAAAAAATGACGTATCAATCTAAGTATACAAGAACAAATACATATAGAACAATACAAGTTAAAATGAAAATTCAATAATAATTTTCTCATTTGTTCCTCGTTACAAAACATTTTTGATTAAATTAGAAAACCTTAACCAAAAATATTGATTTTGCATATTTACATCTTCTTTCAACTTGTATATTTTGTGTATCTTTATTTTTCATAAACCAACTTCATATAGTTCTATTTCATCTCAAAGAACATATCTTTGTAGTCAGGTCCTGAGTTTATACAAGTTGCATGGGAAGTCAGTTGAAGAGTGTAGGTCTGACTATGGATGTCGTTGTGGATGTGTGTATTTGAAGTATTAACAATAATTCATTTTTATTTTGTTCACATGTAGAATTTATCTAAACTAATAATTTGTGTTTTATTTCAATTCTCTTAAAAAAAATTAAATAATTGATTCTGACGAAACAAGTGTTTATAATTGAATGTATATTTTTTAGTTCTTTTTTCACAAGAGTAAACCAGAATTTTTCTTGTTGTATTTTATCTGATATGATGATGATTGCCTATATTATTTTGCTTATGGTGCGCATCGACCAATAAAACATGGATAGAATCAAATATCCCGCATGTGACAACGATTTGTTATCTATGTCATAAAACGACCAAGACCAAAACCAGAACGATCGTGTGGAAATATTCCAAATTTACACTAAAATGGAAACAAAAAACAATGCACAACTCGATTCCTATTTGATTTTATTATTACTATTTACTTGATTCAGATATCATTCCAATGATTTCGCCAACGTCTGGTATTAAAAGATCAACCTAAAAAATTATTCAATTTAAAACTTTATCTATTGAATCATGTTGCATATAAAATCATTTAATTTACAATTGGAAATCGACAAAATAAAATTGATTCGTTAATTCGATCAGTCATTTTTCTTTCAGATACTTATAGTACATCATCTCCAAATTCTTTAAATTTACTCGTTTCTTCATTTGTAATATATCACTATAGTTCATTCATTGAAATGGTTTCTTAAGTGCTCTGAATGACTAAAAACAATACAAAAACAAAATACCATTAATTATATGTGGAATATTTCTGAACTACATACTGCATTAACTTCGAATAAGATATGAATTCAGCTTCAACATGCATATACTTAAAAAACTATATATCTTTATATACATAGATTCAAGTATTTTACTACTAGTTCTTACTCAAGTGAATGATGACGTGTACGATGTGGTTGTGCTCGATACGATTGAACAATACAAAATAAATCATCTATCAATGGTGGACAAACTAGTTCACCAAAATAATTAAAAGCAAAAAGAGTAGCTACATATTCAACTTGTGTTTGTACGAGGTTGGTATAAATATCTAATTTAATTAAATGAAAATTGTTTAAGGCACAATAAAAGAAAAAAATGCAAAATTTCTTATTTCATAATAACTTCGATAAAAGTAGTGATCACGAAAACATTCTGTAACAATCGAACGAAGGCGTAGAACTTTTGATTTCTTCAATAACAGACGATTTATTTATGGATAAAACAATATCAATAATCAACTGACATTTTCTCTTCGAAATATTATATATAAATTATCCGACTGAATATCAGCAAAGAATTCCTATTGAATTAATTAATCAACTAAAAAAGTCTCAATCCTGTAAATAAACCTTATTGAGTACTGTATCAGTAACACAAAGTAATGAATGTTCAAAAACTTCAAAATAATCAATAATTAATTGTTGATCATCTGACGCTCTGTGATCTTCAGGCACAGGACATACTATACTACAAACGAATGTTATTACTTCAGTTGATAATATCACTGCATCATTGATGGTTCTTAAGTAATGATGATTTCGTTGGCTTTTTTCAAGTTTTCTTCACTTTGTAGTCGATCTTTTTCCTAATAATAATTTATAATCAAAGTGAAATAATACTTTTTTGTATTTTATGTTAACTTTTTCACTTGGTATTTCAATAACAATACCCATTAATCCTAAATAACAAATGACAATCAAAATATTAAAAAACAACGATTTCTCTTCTGATCCATTTCCATTTTCATCATTAACCTTTTTGTTGCCTATGTACAGATGATTCATCCTTCTAAATCATTCAAAAATTAATTCAACGTCAATACTTCTTAACAATATTTACAAATAGAAACAAGTTTCTTGTCATTCTACTACTACTACTTCCGACGAAATTGTCATACGTTAATATAAAGGAAAAAAATATGTTAAAATACAATGAACAACGACACGATAGGATACACCTACGAGAATTGCATCGTTTTGCTTCATAAGGCAACAAATATTGCAGTACACAGAAAAACTAAACTATAATTTCATAGAAGTTAAGAAGCACCCTTCAGATAATCTATTTGTGTATGGATGTAAAGTTAAATTAACAGAATGTCTACATCCACACCCCATCCTGCTTTAATTAATCATGGGCAAAGCTTCTCTGACAATTTTCGGGTACTCATGTCATACTATTTATTAAGGCAATGTATTACAGCAGAAGCTAAGCATATGGTAATGGAAATGAATACAGGATATGAAGAAAAATTTATTATAGTAAGGTTAAAAAGCTTATTTAAGTATTATGAGTAATTCAATCGGCTATGTCATTGGTTTCTGGTATCTACTGATCTAACAAGAAGTTTCTTTGATTGTTTTGACGACATCCAGTTGCTTTTGCACCATAGGAATTTGTCTCATACATTTAATCCAATCGTTAAAAATCATTAAATCAGTTCTTTCACATTTCTGCAACATGTCTCTCATGCATCGTTCATGGTCAACCTTGAGTTGCAAGAGTTCACTTTGCAATTGTGAATTGAGAGGATGGTAACTTCTATTATCGCAAATACGACTCTCTTCTTTGATCATTCGAACGAGACTAAGTAAGAAGGGATCATCACTAGTGTGGCGAGCAACGTGTATAAGAAAATGAGCAAAGCGCACGCTCGCAGGAAATAATTCTTTATTTAGGATATGTAGCTCGTTTGGTTGATAGTTCATTCTATTGACTATCCTATAATAAAGGTGGTAGTCGACTGGAACATACTGTCTCGAGTTACATGAGCAATGTTCGCATTGGTTTTGATATTTTTGCAAAGAATCACAAAAAATCCATAAACTATTACATAGTCGGATACGGCGTGGGCAAAAATAGCATATAGCAGAAGGTCGTTGTATAGGTTTTGGATGAAGCTCGATAAATTTATTTATTGATCCATGCTTGTGTAGAATATAGTTTCGAAGAATATTGCGCATTGCTTCAGTTATCAGGCGAACCATCTGCAGAATTTCAACTGAAGCATATTCTACTCTTTGTGACCTTCGATCTATCGAGCACGGACGATCAATTTGACGAACACATTGCAGAAGTAACTCTACTCCTTTTCTTGAAATAGACCAACTTTTTTCAGAATTCGACTCGTGGTGATCGCAGTAGCATGCTGTAGTTAAATGATGAAAGAAGGTGTTATCGAAGTAAAGTATGTTCTTGGTTTTCACAGTAGTATTGTCAAATGAAAGTAATTGGAGCAGTCTTTGAACTTGATCGATTCTTTGATCGACCTTCATCGGGGAGGCTAGATGCTTGGTGAAGCAGAAAACTAATTTTTTCACGCGCTTCTTCTCCAATGAAGCCAAGCAACGATTTCAAACACTGTTGATAAGCAGTGAGTTTCGAGTAGCCTGATTCTATCAAAACACAAATAGCATTCAAATGCTTTAGATTCGAGATGTATGATAGAATGTGTTGCATAGTTGTTTCATTGTGAAGTTGATTGTTTGTGTCAGAAAAACCTGGAGTATCAACGATACATAGCTTTTGTCCATTTTCAATGCTAAATGTATATAACTTGTAGCTTGAGTTGTTGGTTGACGATCATGATAACAATAATAGTATTCGTTAGGATCATTATTGCCAATTGGAATGAAATGCGTACCTGCATCAGTCTTTAGAGCAAAGAGAAATGGAACAACTACATGCATAGCTGATGAAGTCGACTGAACTTGCGGCGATTCCTTGAATTTTAAGCAATTAGCAATTATGTTAATTAACATCGATTTTCCAACACCAAATTTACCTATGAGAACAATAGTAATCTTTTGATCCGTAGAAGGCGTAGCTGGTGATAGATTAGAGTTTTTTGTCGTTGGCATTAAAGAATCACGCACAGCAGCAGTAGTTCCGCTGTTACAGATCGTTGAGGGAAATGTTTTTATCATGTTTAATTTGTGCAAAGAAGATGAGAAGTCTACATATATTACAGTTATTTCAGGATTTTTTTCGCGTTCTAGAGTCAGTTGTCTCAGTATTTCTTGTAAATGTGAGGAATGTGCTTCGTTTAAGCTATCGCTGGAACAAAGGAAACGTTGTTGCTGCCTATTTTGAACTAACTTGTGCTCGATCACGCCATCGTCATCATCACGTTTGATATCATAATCAGCAGCATTCCGGTAATCAAATTTTCGATTTTTCAAATCTTTCATAAAATCATGGTTCTCTTTCAAATTTCTCAAAGAATGATTCAAATCATCGATGGTACCCTTCAATGTCGTTTCTTCCTCAGTCCGAAACTTACGTTCGATAATCTCTTGCAAGTCTTTGCCTTGACGAATATACGGAATCAAACTTCGACCTTTTTTCTTTTCTTCATTATATTGAGTTGTGAATTTCAAGATTTTAACTTGCACTGCATCGAACTGTTTCTTCAGAACAGTTTGCCAAATATTGAAATCTATGTTGTCTTGAAACGCTTTCCACATTTTTTCTACAGAGGACAACCGAAGCCAGTGATCTTCAACCTTTGTTGCTATTCTTGGATCAATAGGAATAAATTTGATATTCTGTTGATTTTGATCGATATAAAATATGTTGATACGATGAAGAATATAATTACAAGACGGTTGATCAGCAAGTTTATTTTTGATTTTGAGGATTTCTCGGTACACATCAAATAATGTTGATTGCTTAGTTAAGTGAGACGTGTTGGAATAGATGTGTGTAGAAATAATTCCACTCAATACATGTTCATTAACATTTAGTTGCTTTTCATACTTCAAGCAATGGCATATCTGATCGAGGCTCTCGTCGATCGCTTTCGAATTATCAATCGGTAGCCTCAATAGAACTACAACGTCGATACCCCTATCTATTGCCGTGATGATGTGAGTGGCGGATACTTTGTACACCTCTGTTAGGATGCTTTTCTCATCAA